ATGGGGGTACAAGTAATAAAAAATGCGGGGAAAGTAAAAAAACCTAATTATCTATTACAAACCAGGAGTAGTTACATAATTATAAGCAACGCGAAAAGAGTAAACTACACGAAAATATAAAATAAAGAAAAGAGGAAGGAAATTGTTTTGGTGATTTTTTTATAAAAGATTTGATAATTAACCTAAAACCTAAATTGATTTTAATTAATTAAAACCTAAAAACCCTAATTAATTTTAATTTGAAAAAATAAGAAAGTTTATTAATTATACAAAAACTAAACCCTAATGTTGATTAGGGTTTGTGAAAAAATTAATTGATTAAAAAAATGGTTTTAGTTTGGTGAATTTAGGGTTTATAAGTGAAAATAGTGAGAAAATAAGGGTTTTTAAAAAAATTTACCAGGGCTGGGTGTTGAACCCACACCCTCTACCCTTTCAATCAGAACCTTCACTTCCAGGCCAGGCGCACACCTGTGTCAAAGGAAAGAAGCCAATGCGCTTTGCACTCAATCCTGCAAAATATGAGAAATTATGAAAAGAAAACATCAATAGGCAGGGATCAAACCCACGCCTTGGTAGGGTAATTCCTTAGCACGTGTTTCAATCACTGGGGCAGTAATACATCCGTTAACTTATGTGGAACAGTTAAAAGAAATATGAAACTCAAGCGCATTGACCAGAGAGACGCTGCAGCCCTAGCTCTGATCGTCTTCTCCAGTGAGCCAATTTATTCTTCCTGTAAAATAGCACACATTAGGGATCCAAGGGGACCCTGCCCCCCTAAATCGAAGGCCGCGAGTTCAACAGGATGGTTATTTTGGACTGAAAAGGCCTGGTTTGAGAGCTATGATGAAAACAACACCAATTTGTATGAATATGGTGATTCACAATTCTGATAGCATGAGTACCATGCGATTAATATTTCCTGCATATAGAGACCTCACGAACACATTAGCATGGTTAGTGTATCTTAAAATGCAATGAAATTCAAGAATGAAAAAAATTATACAATTATGGAATCGTGATGCATGCACGAGTATTTTCTGGCCTTTTAGATCATTGTAAATGATCCAATCTTACCCTATGATCTTCATGAGGTTGATTGGGATGGCTAGTTTGTAGTGAAAGGGATTATGAATAGGGTTTCAAGTTTTTTTAGGGTTCTTGAAAAATTGAGATTTTTGACAAGCTTTTAGTGTAAGGGTTCGTGTCTTGCTTGTATGAAGAATGGGGATTATATAACATGAATTAGGTCAAAGATAAAATGGGCTTGGACTTTGTGTAAGAAGTCTTGTATTTATCTTATTTATTTTTGAATTAATAATGAATAAATAAAAAATAATTAAAATAAAATAGACCAAGGGGTACATGAACAATATTTAAGGTGCATAAGGAGTGTAATACATGCTTGGATTCTTAAACAATGGCCCAATAGTCCAAAATATCAATTTTGCTCAATTTGAACTTCATGCACATGTTCAAAATTTCCCATCTTGCACTGGTCATAACTATATCAATTTTCATATTTTGAAGGTGATGTTGGACTTTTTGGAAATATCAAGATGTCCTCTTCAATCCCTATGTTTATCATTTTTTAATTTGAAGACTTTATCTTAATGTAAATTGCCTTAACAAAAAGTGTCTTTTTGTTGACTTTTGAAATGACTTGTAATGTATTAGATCATATCTCTCAAATGAAGCATTTTTTTGACTTGAGCTTAGAGATACAAAGTTGTAGATAATTGAATATTCTTCAAAATGGGATTTTGTGGGGGAAAACCGATGAAGCATTTGAAAGTTATACTTGGTTAAAGTTCAGTTGACTTCTCCTAAGGGAAACCCTAATTTAGCAACTTTTGACTTTTGATGATTTGAGAGTTTTCCTTGATGAATCATGATCAAACATTGATCAAATGATGAATTTGACTTCAAAATGTTTATGTTGACCATAAATCTTGAAGTTTGACTGTATGTTGACCATAATTGACTTTTTTTACCCAATACAGTTAATTTTCAGTCACCTGAGCAATTGACTGAGCAAAGTTGTGATGCAAGGCTTGAAATTTGGCATGAGTATTCCTTGAGACATATGAGAAATCATGGGAACCAATTGAGGCCTTAGAAACCCAAACTTACTTGAGAAAGATGAAACCCTAGTTGTAAGTCCCTTGCTTAGGACAAGAATTTGTCTGATCAATTCTTGAGCAGCCTTGAGCATTTGAGAACCCTAGGAGAATGTATTGAAGAAAAAGGGAGGGCAAATTTTAGGCTACAAAAATATGATGTCTGAGGAAGCAGAGTATTGGTAGGATAATATCTGCCAGAGGATGGAAGCTGCTAATGCGGAAATTACTTGGACTAATTTCAAGAATGAGTTTCTGGGGAAGTATTTTCCTGGTGATGTTCGTAGCTGCAATAAGATAGAGTTCTTGGAACTAAATCAAGGGAATCTGATTGCGGCTGACTATGCAGCTAAGTTTGAGGGGTTGTCAAGATTTTGTCCTCACTATAACGGTGTGGAGGCAGAATGACCTAAGTGCGTAAAGTTTGAGAGTTGCTTATATCCAGAGATAAAAAAAATTCATTAGTTATCAAGAGATTCATCATTTCTCAGTGCTAGTGATCAATGAAGAATTTATGATAAAGATAGTAGAGTCGTATCTTCTCACCACAAGAGTGTGAGTAAGAAGAAGAATGGGAACCAAAACTGTGGTAAGCCGTATTGACTGCAAGTGGGAAATAAACAAGTAAGGGAGATACTCCTGCTTCTCTTAAGTGTTTCAAATATGGAGAGTTAGGTCATCATGTTGCAGAGTGCACACGTATGAAGTGTTTCAAGTTGGGACATCGTGCAACTGAATGCAAGAGTGTAGTTATGACTTGTTTCAATTATGGAAAACTATTTCATATTAATACCTAGTGTCAGAAACCCAAGGAAACACCATACACCATAAAAACTAGTGGAAAGGTTTTTGCTCTAGGTGGTGAGGAGACATCTGGACCTGATGATTCGATTCTAGGTATGTGTCTTATAAGTGGTATGTCTTTAGTTGGACTCATCATTGGGGTAACATGACGAGAGAGTTAGAGAACCATATGAAAGAGTATTATCCAGAGTTAGTTCCTTCAGTTAATTTTCAAGGGCAAAAATTCATTAAGTGGATGAGAGTTTTAACACCCTAGTTTTAATTTAAATAGCATTATTATTATTTTAATATTTTATTTCGAGTTTTAGAATGTTTTTAGTTAATTAATTAAGGAGTATTTGATTTATTGAAGTGTGGAAAGTTATTAGAAATTATAGTAGTATGTTATTAGAATTATTATTAAATTAAATTAAATCAAACAATAGAGAATAATGAAGAATTATGGATTTTAGGTGAGAAATATAATTTTAATAAAATTGGAGTAAAGATAAAGAGTTACTGAGAATGTTGGGCATTATTATAATTAACTAAAATAAAATAGAATTATTTTTCTATTTAAGTGGAATAGAGGAAGTGAGAATTGACAGTACATGTTTTTGGAGAAAAGAGACAGAGAGAGGAAAGAGGCAGAAAACCTAGGAAAGCTCTTGGAAAGGAAAACCTCATAGCTAATACTTCAACTTTGCTGCAAATCTGAGGTAGGGGAATTGTTCATATTTTGATGTTTTAAGAAGATAGATAGCGAGGGTTTCTTACCCTTCTTCCTTCTCCCTTTGATTTTGTCTCTGTGATAATGTTTGAGGCCAACAAAGGTTTGCGCAAAACATTCTAAGGCAGTTGATATGGTTTAGTTTTCTGGATGCCTTGTTGATTGATATTTGAATTATATGTGCGGCCTTAAGATAAGGAGAGAATATGAATCTGTGATATTTAATTTCTATTATCAAAGGTTAACCTGTATGTATTAAGGAAGTTGATATAATTTGATTTTCTTTCTTTTCTCTAATGATTGTAGCTTTTGAATTGGTGATATATTATGTTGACGCCTTGTGATAAGGCGAAGGTTGAATTGAGATTTTTGTTGAGGCCTGATGATAAGGAGAAAATTAAATTAACTATGTTGCTACCTAATGATAAGGCAAGAGTTAAAATGTTTAATCTTTAATGAAATTTTGGGTATGTGATGTTGAGGTGGTTGAGTTTCAGATAGGTGAATTTAAGATTTGTTCAATAGGGCGAACAATTAGAAAGTCACAAAAGTAGAAAACTAAAAAATTGGTTACTCTTTGGAATTGGGCCGAAAACTAGCGGTGGCATATGGATGACGACCGGGGACCGGAGGGCGGCAGAATCACAGTAGCCGGAGTCGGTAGGCGGCAATGATAGTGGGTCGGGTCGGTTCAATGATGACATGTTATGCGATTTGTTTCAATGAGTTTTGAGTAATTTTCGATTGCAATGACTGTTCACGGCTGTTTTGATGAGTTTAGAGACAAATTGAATTAAAATAATGGAGTTTTATATGTTTAGAGCTTTCTAGTCCTTCTTGCAAACCTTTGTTGGTTGATAGAGTTAAAGTGTGAGTTATGGAAAAACCTTATAGTTATTTAAGGAGTTTTGAGTTATTTAATATATTAGAGTTATATTTAAGAATCAAATGTGTTGGATTTGAGTTGTTGAGGTATTTAGGGTTAAAATTGACGTGTTTAGAGTTAGAGTCGAAGTTAATTGATAATTTTAAGTTGAGTTTGAGTTATGTATAGATAAAAGAGTTAAGTTGTGAGCTATTTGATGAGTTAGAGCTGAGTTTTATAATCAAATGAGTTGGATTTTGTTTAATAGAGGAGTTAGAGTTGAGTTGATTTTTTTAGAGTTATTATAAGTAAAGGTTAAAGTGCGCCTTGTAACTCTTAAATTTTTGAATAAAAAGTGAAAGAGTTTTTATGAGTTATGTTGAGTTATGAGATGACCCTGTTGAATATTCATGGTTGTATAATATTGTTTTTACCTTGTTGGTGAGTATATTTGAGTAATTCTATAATTATAAATATTGTGTAGTTGTATTCATATATCATGTTGAATTATGTTGAGTTACATAGTTCAGAGAGGAATTATTATGATGGCCTTATATTGACAATATTTATGTTGAGATATGTAGTTCAGAGAGGAACTGGGATGGTGGTCTTATATTGGCGATGTTGTAGGTTCAGAGAGGAACCGATGATGATTATTGTATTGATATTGTTTGTTGCATTTCACGCATCATATATATCGGAGATAGGTAGGACTTCAGTCCAATGAGGGTCACAAGTTCAAAGAGGAACCATTATTTCAGAGAGGAACCAGTGACGAGTCTTAGGCTCAAAGAGTAACCATTGGTTCAGAGAGGAACCAGAGATGATGGATCAATCAGTAACATAACTCTGACATCCAAACCTTGGTACCGTATGCATTTGGAGGAGAGGAGGATAATTACATTGCATTACATACCTGCATTTGTGACTATTTATTGTTGTGAATTAATCTATGTGATTGTTGAATAACTTTGTTGAGTTACCCTTGCTGATTTACACACCATTAACATTTATGAATGTATTCTCACCCCATTTGCTTGTTTATGTTGTTCTTTATGCATGTGGTGCATATACTCAGGTAGAGGAGCCTTAGCTGTTTTTGTGTTGGAGTATGGAATATATGCCTTCTTATTTGTTTATCGCTTTGATTTATTTAAATTTCCGTTTGTCGCTCTGATAGTGTAACACTGGGATGAGTTATACTTTGTTTTGTGTTTTCCTAAAAGTTGTTGGACTAATTTCTATATGATTGGAATTCATTTATTTTAATTATGAGATAATTAAGTGAACTTATATTTTTTAAGTTCCACTGCATTATTATAATTTTTAAGAAAGATGTTTTATGAGAGATATGTGACACCATGTTGCCGATTTAGAAATTATTTTTGCATGCTTTTATTTAAATAAGTGACTTGGGATTTAGGGTGTTACACTTGGCATCCTAAGAACTGACAAAAGCTCTTGCCTAAGGGACTCAGTATCTCCTTAGGCGAGAATGAGGGACACATCGCCTCCTCAATCGAGTTACGTAAATGCAACCTCTAAAGGACTTTTCATCCTCAAAACTGATAAAAGCCCCATAAGGGAAAACACCAGTCCTCAGAATGTTCCCGTTAACTGAAGGTAAAAAACACTTCACCTTATGCCGATGGATCAGTGTCTAAGGGACTGCGTCGTGTTATATTTTGAAATAACCTTGCCTAGGGCGACAAACTGGGATGACCCTAGGAAAGGATGACGATGTGAGATCGCCTGAAGGGAGATACCGTCTCACCCATGCATTATCATTGCCCATAGGGAAAGGAAATATGGGATAATACATGTCTTGGATAGTGGGGAAGTCAAGATAATTACTAACCCGCATATTCCTTGGGAATAAAAACTCAGCTGTCTACTTTTGACTGGGTGGGCGACGACCTTTTCCAAGAAATCCTAGGAATCATAAATTCCTATAAATACCTCATATTTAATAGGAAAAAGGATGAATTTTAAGTAACACTTACTTACTTACATACATTCAAACATCACTCAGGTAGCACTCCATTCTAAGTAACCATGACAACATCAGTCCAACTGCCTGCTTGCAACCTAGCAGCGCCAACCAATAGCAAGGCATTTCACCTTACGTGAGCTGGTCCTTAAAACAACCTTAAAAACCACCGTACATGGCTACTCTCCACCGTGAGTTAGCCCTCACCCCAAACGTGTAATATACCTACTAGGGCCTTTAAGTCTTCATGCCCTTGTATGGGGGGTCACACACACCTATACTTTATTTGTTAGTACAAACTTTTGGAATTGTGTAAATACCCCACTCTTCTTTTCAATAAGATAAATCTACATGTATATAGTGAATTCATATATGAAAGTTAGGAAATAGCAATGACCTCAATTTGATCTTACTTTAAAAGATCCACACACACCAGAGTGAACAAGCTCTATATTTTATGTTGACTTCATAGACATGTCATGTTTGAATGCTTTCCTAACCTTCTTTGCTTTGCAACACTCCTCACACACCTGACTTGGTTCCTTTACTTGAGGTGATACCTACACCATCTTCTCCATGTTGAACATACCTAGAATTTTGAAGTTTAGGTGTCCATACATGTGGTGCCATACAACAGTTAAAGCAATACATTTATGATCAACCTTATCGATCTCAATCTTGAAGGTTTTGTTATCTGCCAATGGTGCTTTCAGGATCATCCTTTCTTCACCATTATACACCTTCATCTAATTCTCTTCCAAGTTCATGTTATATCCTTTTGCAAGTAATTGACTTATGCTTATTAAATTGTTTGTCATAGAATGTACATACAATACATCAATAATATTATCCTTCTAACCATCTCTTCTAACCGCATATATGTTTCCTTTTCCACTTGATGTAACATTTCTGCCATATGCAAACCTGATCACTTTCTTAACTGATTCATCTAATTTAGTGAACCAGTTTTTATTACTAGTTGCATGGTTACTACATCTTGAATCATAGAACAACATATTGGTTTATTCATTATTCGACTAAGTATTGGACATGATTAGCACATCATCAGAGTCACTTTCTCCAGCATGGGCATATTGCACTTATTCATTATCTTTTGCTCTTGATTTCTTCTTTCTCCAGAAATCTCATGCATAATGACCAAACCCTTGACAGTTGTAGCACTCCACCTCCTTTATGTCAACTTTCTTCCTCGAATATTTGTTGATATTGCCTTTCTTGATTGAATAAGCACGATTCTTTGAATTCTTGCTTGAATTCTTATCATTAGCAAGAATCTTTCTCTGGTTCGCCTTTTCTTTTCCAGACTTCTTGGTGAATCTTGCTTGTAATGCCTGTTATTCCACTTTCTCCCTTTCTGAGTTCCTTTGCTTAAGTCTCATCTCATGAGCCTCTAATGAAGCTTTAAATTCTTCCACCTTCATCTTATCTAGATTCTTGGACACTTCAATAGACACAAAAATGTAATCAAAACTTGTAGTCAGAGATCTCAACACTTTCTCAATCTTTTGCAAATCATTGATCGATTCACCATACAACTTCATCGGGTTTGTTAGAAGCCCCACACATAAAAACAATTCTGAAACTGGCTCACCTTCCTTCATTTGATTCATCTCAAATTGCTTTCTCAGCGTTTGCAACTTCACCCTCTTCAGCTTTTCATCTCCACCATATAAGTTCTTCAACTTGTCTCACGCTTCCTTGGACGTTTCTTCTTTAATGATGTTCTCAAATACATTAAGATCCACACATTGATGAATCAAGAAAAAAGATTTTCCATCTTTCTTTCTTTGTTCCTTGTGCGCAACCTTCTAAACATCATTTACATTTACTTCCAATGCAGGTACACCATCACACACGATTTCAGCCATATCTTGAAATCTAAAGATGACCTTCATTTGTGAAACTCACCTCTCGTAATTCTTACCTTTGAAAATTGGTAGATTTAGAGGAAATTGTGTTGATGTTATATTAATGTTTTCCACTTGAGATTCACTGAATCACAACCGGGCTCGTTGATACCAATTTGTTGAATAATTAGGTTATTCAAGAAAAATAAAGAAGAAGAAGAAGAAGAAGGAGGGAGAGAGAGAGAGAGAGAGAGAGAGAGAGAGAGAGAGAGAGAGAATATACTATATATTTTGAAAGGGGAAATTTTATTATGAATTCACTGTTAATCTCTCAATTGATTTACAGCATCACATGTCTATATATAGACAACCATTACACAGCATTTGCTAAATGCAGTATTCGACTATGTCAAATACATGTTGACATATTTCGACAACTACATATTATATTCGACTATGTCAAATATAACTAACTCTATTCAGTTAAGTTCAACTCTGTTGTCTACAACTAATTCGACTAGATCAAATACAACATTGTCAAATACATACTTGCATATTAAAACAATGAATTACTAGATTTTAACAGTGTCCTAAGGACACATGTTAACATTACTCTCAAAGAAAATAAATCAAGTTTATCTATATTCTCGGTCTCTTACACTTTTTCCCCACGTTTTTTCCATCTTTTCCTATTTCTTATTCTTTCCCTCTCTTATCCTTTTTCATGTTTTCTTCTCTTCTTTTATTTATTTATTTGTTTATTTATTTATTTATCTATTACTTGGTTTTTTTCTGCCTCACTTTCTCTTTCAATTTATGTTGTCAATTTGTAATTTACCATCTTCTCTATTTTAGCCATTCTCAAAACTATCCTCAATACCAATTGGACTTATACCTTATTATTTAAACTAGTTCATCTATTTGACCTAGTTATCTAATACTCTCCGTCTCAAAATAAAACGTATTTAAGGTTGTCACACACAAATTAAAAAAAGTAATGATTGAGTCAATAAAGATAATATTTTTATAAAATTATCTTTAATTACTATTAATTATTATACATTATCATAAATACATAGTATGATTTCCTAACTTGAAAAAAATATTGACAATATTTATTAGAGATAAAATTGATAAAAGTTAATTAATGTTGCATTGGAAAATAAAGAAATTATTATTTTGAGACAATTTTTTTTAATTGGAAAGACATTTATTTTGGAACGATAGAGTACTAACTAAAAATTCATAAGAATGATAAATTTGTCAATACTAAAAAGTGTCATTCTTTAAATAAAACTAACAATAAATAGTAATGATAATCATAATAATAACGACATAGTAATAGAAAGATAATATTTGAACCAAGCGCTTTGGTTCCCGCGAGTTCAAGAAACTCCTGTTAAGGGCGATATTTAAATAATATTGAATTCGATTTTTAAGGTAGAAATAATATTTGGCCAGACCATCCTAACTTCGAGACCGAAACCAGATTAATCGATTGCCTAAGCAGATCGAACACCGATCGTGAAAACAAAAGAAAAAAAGAAAAAGTATTTGATCATGAAAATAATGTGTTACACTTTTCACACATTTAAAAAAAGAAAAATGCTATTTTTACACTAATACGTTGAATTGTGAAATGTTATATAAATAAATTAGTTAAATATATAAATATAAATATATATTTACTGGCTCCACCACTGACTCCATAATTTTCTACCAAAACCGTATTTGACATAATTATTTTTGACGAATCGTAACAGATAATAATGGAGCTTGGGCTTTAGTATATCACAGACTATGCCTAAAACTACATACACTTAGTATTAGGCTGAGATTAGTATACATTAGTAATTGTATCTTTGAAAC